TAAAGGGCCCCAAAGCCCTATTCTAGTTATGAAGGTCCCAAAACCCTAAGCACTTGTAGTGGCCCTTATAGTAACCCTTTAAAGGAACCCTATTCTAATTCTTAAAGGCCCCTAGACCCTAAACCCTTATAGTAGCCCTTACAGTAACCCTTTAAAGGAACCCTATTCTAATTCTTAAAGGCCCCTGGACCCTAAACCCTTATAGTAGCCCTTACAGTAACCCTTTAAAGGAACCCTATTCTAACTATTAAAGGCCCCTGGACCCTAAACCCTCATAGCAGCCCTTACAGTAGCCCTTTAAATGAACCCTATTCCAACTGTTAAAGGCCCCTATGTTAGGGTTTAGGGTTTAGGGGAGCGCTCGAGTCCTGATTGCACAACCTAAGCCCCACACCCCAAGCCTACACTCAAAGGTTTATCCCGTAATATAAGGGCCTTAAGAATTAGACTTGGGTTCCTTTAAAGGGTTACTATAAGGGCTACTATAAGGGTTTAGGGTTTAGGAAATAGGGTTTTGGGGCACATTATAATTGTTAGGCCCCTACATTAGGTGCTGAACTCTGCACCCCAGGTGCCAGAATAGGATTTGGCGAACATCAGCCATCTCAACCCTAAACCCTGGCAAGACGTAAAAGAGTCGACCCCAACTGTAATTGAAAACACTAGACCTTAAACCCCTAAAGCCCTAAACCGCAAGCCATAATCAGGTCCACAATGATGAACAAGGGCCTCGAGGTGATCGAGGCGTTCGGAAACCCAGAGAGGGGGGGCTTTCTTGAAGGGTTTTCGAAAAGGTCTTTTTGGTTATGGGGTTTAGGGTTTACCTATAGTTCCTTTTGGGGGTTCCCTTATAGGATCCTGAATATAAAGTTGGTTCAACCAAAAAAGGAACTACACTGGAGACTGTTGCTTCACAGGTCCTCTGTAAGGGCACCATAATGGGGTAATTTGGGGTTTAGGATCTTGGTGGTTCAGGGTTTTAGGGCTTTGGGGTTAGGGTT